CCCCTTTTTTTTTTCTCTCTGCTCAAATCCATATGGTATTGATATGTACTCGTATTACTCGTACATACATTACCTATACATCTGCGTTGCATGCCTCTGCAACTGACCTCTGCAGAGAGACCTGTCGTCTGACCTACCTGAGGCTACCATTTCAGGGTGGAATCAACTCTCATTCGATCAGACAAATTAGACACATCCATCTCCTTTCTTATCCATCTCATCTACTCGTACGTACACACGTATATACAACCCGCTTCACTATGTAATGATAGTATACCTATATGCATGTATACCCGCAGTCACGACTACGAGGATCAGATACTCGCAATCCTTCATGCCCCGGTAACCTTATCTCCGCAGCCATGACTTGATCAAGAGATGAGATACCCTCGACAGGGGGGATCGAGGTCAGACACCACTCACTACTCGTACTCGTAGACCATACCCAGCACACGAGCCGCCCTCGTCTCGACCGCATCGTCCCACATGGCCGCCGCCTTCTCGACCCACCTCAGGCCGGCGACGGCAACGTGCTCATCATCGTCAAAGAACCCGCCGCGCCCCACGACCTGGTAGAGTATACCCAGCATACGAGGGCGCAGCACGCAGGCGGCCCAGCAGTCGACGGTGCCCCTCCGGCGCGGTGAGCCCTCGCCGCCCTGCCTCTGCTGCTGCGCACGTAGGAAGAAGACTCTCGGTGCCCGTGCGGCGGTACCACAGTGCCCTGGTAGCCTAGTCGGAGTGGCACCACTCGTCCAGCCGGCGACTCTGCGAGAGTGTCGTCGTCGTCCCGGACGGTGCCGAGAGGAGGAGCAGGTCCAGGGGCGTGTGGCAGAGCAGCGCCGGCATCGCGTTGGTCATGCCCGAGCAGCCGAATACGTCGGCCATGTGTGCCTCGTACGCGCCGCTGCCGTCCCACCGCAGTACCGGTGCGCACGGACACGCCAGCACGGCCGCGTCCATCTTAGGCGCCGCATGCCCACCGTCCGCACTGTGTAGGCGGCCCGGTCGGTCTGGAGTCCCTGACCCCAAGCGCGGGAGTCTGACGCTCCCGCTGCTCCAGCGTGCTCGCCGTCAGCGGTGCGGCCAGCGTCTCCGGATTCGCGCAGTCGAGGCTGCGTACCGTAAAAGGCCGCTGCCCGGAGTATATCGTCGTGTGCGCGCCTAGCAGGAAGCACGCCGCCAGCAGCCGCCGTCGCGTTTCCACGCCCACCCACCGCTTCCACGTCGTGTCGCCGCCGTCCGTCGTCGTCGGAAAGGGGGGTCCAAGGTCGGCTGGTCGTCGACGAAGATCTGGTGTAGCTTGTGGAACAGACGGCATCTGGTGTTCCCTGCCGTGTGTCCACGGAATCGTGCATATATTATCCCGCACGGCACGACGGTCTACGTGGTTGGCAGGGGCCGGTCATGACGTTGGATGTGCTGCAAGGGGTTAGATTCTGTCTATGTGTTTTCTTTTTCTTCTTTTCCTTTTTTTTTTTTTTTTTTTTGGGGGGGGGGGGGGGGGGGGGGAGGAGGGAGGTCCTTTAGTGAAGACAAGTAACAGAAGATATCAAGTACTTACAGCGTCGCAGGCACTCCAAGCATGCGCATGCAGCTCTCGGGCATCATTCCTGCGGTCGCCCCCGCCGAGAAACTGCGTTGCCAGCTTACCATGGCCGCCATGGCCGCCATGACACACTGCAGCATATCCATCACGCCCGGCTGCGCTCGGGGCATATCGTCAAATGTAGCGGGATGAGATCATCGAGGGTGAGAGCGACACCTACTCTCAGTAGACGCCCAGGTGGAGGGGGCATGGAGATCCGGACGTCCGGACGCAGGTCAGCAGCCGGGGCCAGCACGAGCGGCGCCGACACGGGACTTTTGCCGTGGTCATTGCTGGGTGGCAAGTATCGCGGGGCGTCGTCCGGCTGCTGCAGGATCCGACAAGCGTCGAAGCACAGGAGGTCAGAGGGTTTCATGCATCGACTGGATCGGCGAGGTTGGCTGCTCCAATGACGGCGACGATGCCGGTGGCGGCTGGGAAGCCGAAGCGTCCGTCGTATCCATATCCATATCCATGCCCGGATCCATGTCCTTCGATACCTCTTCTTTCTCAGTGGGGCGAGTCACGTCGTGTCTACCAAGCAGAGTGTGAGCCTCGGCCGTAAGCGGGGTCCAAGTCGTCGTCATCATGGAGGGTGAAAGAGGCGTGCTCACCTCAGTAGAGTCCGGGTATTGCTGCTGCGGAGGCGGCGGGGGTGGTTGTGTCATCATCGATCCACCGTACGGCAACGGCGACGGTCCGGGGTAGCCCAGAGGGTGAGGGACACCTCGATTGATACCTGCCATGGCGGCCTCGACCTCAGCTTGACCTCGATATTCTTGCTCACTGTTTTTCGAGAGTGTCCACTTGTCAGTCTGGGTATGGACATACACACGTCATTCCGATGACAACCCCGGGGACAGGGGAGGAGCGAACGAACTGTCTGGCTTGATGCCTCTCGAGGAGATCTTTCCGATGGAAGACCTTGCCACATCCTGGGACGCAACACCTCCGATCGGGGGGCTGATGACTGAGTTGATGACGCCTGATTCAGGTCAGTTGTTTTACTCTCTTTCGATCATCATGTTGTTGCTGTCGTCGCTGCTGCTGCTGCTGCTGCTGTTGTTGTTGTTGTTGTTGTTGCTGCTGCTGCTGCTGCTGTTTTCCTCTTATTCCTGACAATAATAATAAAAATGAACCAAAAAAAAAATGGAGAGGAGAGAAAAATGAAGTAGCAAAAGGATACGAACCTCAGATGCTCGGCTCTAGTAAATGCCTGCTCATTTCATGATTAGCCAAAACGTCAATGCCTCCAAATGCCTTCCCCCTCGCCCCTTTTTTTGGCCCCCAAATTGCGCAACAAAAGAAAAATGATAGCAGCCACCTGTTCTCTTTCCCCTCCCCTCCATCTGGACGACTCACCTTTGGAGGCTGACACTGGTCACAAATATGAACAGGGACTCCCTTTTTCGCACGACTGACTCTCCCAGTCACGGGCGTAAGCTTGGGACCGGCCGGATGAGCCGGGCCGTGAGATGCGGATCCGGTAGCAGCATCCACTCCTCCTCCTCCTCCTCCCCCCCCCGCCGATCCTTCACCACCGCTTCCGTACGGCGGCGTGCGAGAGCTTCCCCGGCAGGCGTCGCATCTACCGCCACATCCGCCGGGCCTGTGGGCGTCGTGGTACGGCGATGATGCCGATGACGATGCCAAGGTCGGCATGAGGTCTGCGCTAGGCCTGTCTGACGGCGGACCCCATGAGGAGGACCATGGCGATGATGATGATGATGTCGGCGTCGTCGTCGTCGACTCCGAGGATAGAATAGGTCGAGAGGATGATGAGTAAGATTGTACTATAGGCGGATGAGGATGAAGATGGGCGTGTCCGACAAAGGGCGAGGGTGGCAATGTCATTGCCGGCACCTGCTGCTGCTGCTGCTGCTGCTGCTGCTGCTGTTGTTGTTGTTGTTGTTGTTGTTGTTGTTGTTGATGATGATGATGATGCTGTTGTGACGGTGGCGGTGTTGTCTTCGCCACCTGTTCTCTATCCTCAATGTTGTTGCCGGTGTCGTCGTCGTCGACATTCATAATCTCCCGAAGGCTGACCATGTTGCGACGACGGTAGACGACGGCGGCGGCGACGACAGCAGAAGCAGAAGCAGGAGCAGTAGCAGCAGCAGTAGAGATACGAGCTCTACTAATATTGTCACCAATATTACCTGTAGTATTGCTACTCTCATTATCTGTAGTTGTGGCAGTAGGAGAACTGCCGCCACAACCCCTGCTCCTCCCCCACCGCAAAAGTTGGCCACCGCCTCGGTGAGGGTCACCTGGCGATAGCCGATGGAAGTAGTCTGGTTCCTGGAGAGAGAACGGATGTGAGGCCGAATGCAGCATGGGGGGGGTCAACGGGTATCGTAAAAGGAGGGAGAAGATATGGGGAGGAAGAGAGAGGTTGTATGTTGAAGAAAGGAGCCTCCCACAAAAGGATTAAAAAAAATCAAAGTTAGGAAAAAATAAAAAAAGGGAACAGAGATGTTGTCTTTTTTTTTTCGATGCGGAGAAGGAAGAAGTGTGGGAGGAGGAGGGAGATGCTGGCTGTTGGTTCGGCCGGTGCGACGTTATATATCCACAACAGAGGAAAAGAGCATGCTGCTCTGTTCTTTATAACGTCCTGCTTTCCCTTTCTTTTTCTCCTCTCTTTCTTTTCTTTCTTTCGTCTCTTCCTTCTTCTACTTCCTCTCCTCCTCCTCCTCCTCCTCCTCCCTCTCTTCTTTCTCGCCCGTCAATACAATAAAACGGAAGCAAACTCCTCAGAAAGAAAAGAGGAACAGGAAACAAGGATAAGAAACGTTGTATACCAGTACGTACTCTACCTGACCTCGTTATCCTCTATTTTTGATACGAGCAGTAGTAAGCCTCTCCTCTAGGCTTGTTTTCTTTTTCTAATGGATTTATTCTGTCGTGGTACGTATACATGTACGCTCGGATATACTGTACATGGTGCTCGTCCAACTACGTCGGAAGCTACTCCATCTTAGCGGCGGCAGCCGGGGGGAGGATAGGAGGGGGAGGGGTGTCTTTGTGATGACTGACAGGGGGGGGGATATGGCCAAGGGAAGAGGAGGAGCGAGAGAGGAAAGCCAACAGAATCCTAGTCTCTAGGGATAAGGAATGAGGTTGGGAGAGGAGGAGGAGGAGGAGGAGGAGGAGGAGGAGGGGAGGGCACCCGAGACCGTGTAGTGAGCAAGTTCACCTATAACAGGTAATATGATGACTTAGTATTACTTAGTATCAAGGAGTTCGGAGTACTACATACGTCGGTGTTGTGGTTCTCCTCGGGGGCACATGTCCCGGGTGGATAGGCCGAGCAATAAAGCCACCGTCGAGTCTTCTTGGCCTTCCATTTTACTGGGTCATACGTAAGATAGAGAGAGAGAGAGAGAGAGAAGGGAAGGCTGTTCACTATCCTCCGTATTACCATGTTACCAAAAATGTACAAATCATCGTCGGGCCGGGGCTCAGACCCGGGCTGTACGAGGACTAGGTATTACATGGTATTGTCCACGTACACGCCGTCTCGGTCCCGAAACATATATTGCTTCCAGCTGTGTATTAGACAGTGAGAACACTACTATCACCATTTCAGCGCACAACAAAATATGAACGGTATGGAACTCCAGAAAAGAATGATTGAAACAAATCCAACAAAAAGATGCAAGATGATATGCCCCCACCCACCCCACCTCAACTGCAGGCCACATGGGGGCCCTTTTTTTGGACACTACGTAGGTCGTGACCTGGTAGATACTCTTCGCAACCTTTCTTGTCACCGGCAATAAACCAATTCAGGATACTGTTACATATTCTCGTTCTCGTTTTGATCTCTTGTTCCCGAGTTGACTAGGTCCGTCTATTACAGAAACGCCACCGCCCCTCCACTCTCTCCCCCCCCCACACACACACACATACTCTCTCTCTCTCTCTCTGTCTTCTGTTAGTCACTCTCCGATACGTGATGTAAGTTATTGCCCCGGAACTCATCTGTACCGGGTACGGGATCGAAAAGGGGTTAGAAGAGAATTCCACAGAGATCTGGTATCGAAAAGGAAGAAGAGGAGAATAGAAACGAGGAATGAGGTGATGGATACTTGCGTGACGAGTCCCGGTCCGATCGCCAAACGTCCTCCACAAGAATGTGTCAGAAAAGTATGGGAAATCATTACCAAGGGACGCACGAGCATTCTTTTCCCTCTCCCTCTATCTCTCTCTGCCGTCGGACAAGAGAGAAATACGAGTAAAACAACCCCCCTGTCATATGTGAAGTTTTACGGATACAAGTACATGTACACGATCCAGCTAATCATTTCAGGCAGATCCCAGTCCACACCTGGAAGTCGCTAGCAATACCGTTATTACGACGTTCTAATAAGACTGGGTGTAAGATGTTAAGTCATGTTTGTTTTTTTCTCAAACCCCGCAACGTACTATGTGTGTGTGTGTGTGTGCACATGGGTGTGTGGGTGGACCACAATAAATAAATAAAAGAATCCGTCACACTTGTTCCGATGATGGCTCCCTCGGTGATTTATGCCAGTTCATTGTTGAAAAGTTTCTCCCAAAGGGGAGGAAACGGGGGGTGAGGAGGTGGAGAGGGAGGCCGTCGAGTGGGGGCAAAGAGTTTAAGTCAAACTTTGGAGAGTTGAGAAGAAGGTACGAGTACGGAGTACTCAGACAGGTAGAGAGAAAGAGAAACACACTCTCTAACTCTCAGAGAGAGAGAGAGAGGAAAAAGACTAACAGACTAGCAGTTCAGAGTGGACACTGGAAACTATCAACACCATGCTACTCCCCGTAGCACTGCACCGTCCACGGTTTAGTTGTGAGGGGACCTGTCTCGCCTACAGCATCTCGATCACACCCGATCGCTGAGTCTCTTTTTTATTCCTCCTTTCGTCTCGTTGCACAAAACCCATGAGCACTATTAGAGAAGGAAAAAACGGCTGCCGGGGGGGGGAGGAGGGGGCAAAGAGCCTCGGTCCTTTTGTTTGGGAGGGTCACCCCTCTTATCCGTACTATCTGTACTATGAGTGCACGTATTCTGTTTTGCACTTGAGGGGGAATGTGCCAATCATCTCTTCTTCTTAGACGATAGTTTGAAAGAAGAGGAGAAGAGACATAGAGGAGAAGAAGAAGAAGGAATAAGAAGAGAGAGAGAGAGAGTAGGCAAAGAGATGATCAGAGAAACTATGGAGAAAAAAAAAGAAAAAAAGAAAAAAAAACTTTCACTACCCACACAAGGTACATTGTTTTCCTACATTGTTATGATAACTCTAGCGTCAGGAGAGGCGAGGGGAAGCGAAGAAAAAGACCGGGACAGCGGACAGAGGGGCGAGCTCGGCGTTGGATCGAGAAGGAAAACTGGGGAGGGGAGGGGGAGGGGGCATGTGTACATACATGTACGAGTAATCAGAGACAATCGAAGACGAAGACTTGGCGGATATACGGATACTCGCTACAGCTTACATGTAATTAGGGCTGTACGAGAAGGTTGCCGGATAAAATCAGCATCAATGCAAAGTCGATAGATGTTGGCATCGAATGCTTGGCAGAATGCATCGTCAGCGTTGGTGCTCGACAGTATCCGTTGGTATCGTCGGCGTCAGAAGAGAAGGGTGCCTGTCCCTCATCGGTGGCCATCATTCTACCGCATATCACCAACAAGAGAGGAGAAGAGGGAGACGGACAGACAGATGCTCAGGTCGGATCTGACCCTGTGTACCTTACCTGTACAGATACCTACGGAGTAGATGGATGGACATGGTCACCCTGTGGGGTCCGTCAGCTGAGGTGATGGGGGGCCCGGCGGGGTTCTTGATTTAACAGACCGATACAGCCTACGGGTAATGCTGCTGTTGCCCGTACTCGTATCGTGTCTTTCCCTCGTTTCCAATTCTACTCGTAGACTTACACACCTACAGACCACCACGGGTATGGGATGAGTCCGGAACTGAAGCCGCGACACTCTCTCTGAAATGCCTCTACACGTAGCGAGGTGCCCGGGTGGTATCTAGACGCCGTGCCATTGCCGATCGGGCTGTCGCTTCTCTAGTTCTTACCTGTAGATGCCCGGCACTCGCCCCGGTATCGACTAGATCGGTTGGCTCCCACTCTCCGGTTTGGCTGTAGAGTTCGGAGCGCCGAAGGCGGAGTACATGTACGGCGGGTTATAGTGCCGCCACCTTGCACGCTATCGTGGCCACACCTGGCTACGGTACCGATGATCAGCCTCCCCGAGAGCCTACACGTAACGCTAGTCCGTATTACATGGTGCTACTTCTGCTCCGTACAATGATGATAGACGCCATCGTCAGTCGGCCGGGTGTTCCGCTCTACGCCGACAGGGCCATGGGAGCTGATGGTTCTGTTTCCCGTCGCCAAGTCTGGACTCTCTTCGACTCTCGACCGTCACTTGGTCCGGTCCAGGCTGCCGCTCATGTCATTCTGTAAGTGCTGATGCTCTTCATCGATAATGGCTCGTCGCCACGAGGAATACTGGCTGGCAATCCCCCCCGCCCTTGCTTCTCCCTCGACGTGACCACCCCTTCCGACCTGCATCGTATACATGTTTAATTTCCCATGCATGCATCCCATCGGTCTCGAGTGTATATTCCATCCTCCCATGCCACACTGCCCGACACTGACACATTGCGACGTGCTGGAGATACATCTCTGAACAGCCATGTCTTTGGGGGGGGGGGTTTCTTCTCCTTTCCTTTTTCCTTTCTCTTCTCTCTCTCTCTCTCTCTCTCTCTCTCAAAGGCAGCTACCGCACAAGGCGTATACGAGTACCGTGATGTCGTAGATGAATTGAACGTTTTTACCACAGTACGCGCACGATGCATGACCACCACATGTATATTCACATGCCAAGGCTGCTGCCTACTCGAATTCGTTTCAGATCAGGGTGAGGCAAAAATTGAAAAATTGTTCCACTAACTCAATACAACCTAGACCTATAGAAATGTGAGATGGTGTAAATTGCTACAACTCCGACTGGTTCGATATCCTCCCCCCTCCCCCCTCCCCCCTTCCTGGCCTAGGGCGAGAATGGGCCCGCACTAGACGGAAATAAAAGGGGAACTGCCACGCACGCAAGAGACAATCTCTACTCGTACTTGTAGTCTTGTACAGCCTGCAGAGTACATATACCTGTGCAGGTATACCCGTAGCAAGTGTCGAGCGCAGAAATCGCTTGTACCAGCCTGACCCCGACCCCTCGAAAAACGGTTCCCGGTCCGGGTCCTAGTCCCAGTTCCCTTGGAGGAGGGGGGGGGCTCCATCCAATTTGTGTACGTCCCGTCAATGGTAGTAGTCTAGTAGTCTAGTATAGACTTTTACAATGCGCTGTCATATCATCCCTACGTCGTAGTCTAGTAATATCGTCTCACGCCGTATTCGTAATTCCTAGCAAGGATTCTCAATCGTTGGCCCCCCTTCCCAGAAGGTCAGACATATATATAAAGCTCTCACATCATCAAAACCGCGACCGACAGGGAGGGGGGCATATCAACTAAGAAGCCAAGACGGAGAAGGAGAAGAGGAGGAGGAGGAGGAAGAAGAAGAGTCACAGCAAGAATACGGTTTCCCATCTGTCTGTCATCCTTTTCTTCCTTCTGCCAGGAGCTGCCTGGCTAGTAATATTACATATACTCCGAGTCTCTTGTCGTCGACGCATGAGCATAACCCGTACGAGTTACACGCGGCGCCGTACACTCGTATGCAGCCCTTGTCTGTCTCTCCAGGACATTTCTTGTTATCTCGTAGGTGGTAACCCCCCCTAACTTCATCTCTTTCATGTGTGTGAACCTCTGTCGATATTCTCCCCTGACTGGTCTAGCGTAATACTACGATGTGGACCGTCACCACTTTCTCTCACATACTCGTACGACCATAGCCGGTGGAAAATTCGGGGGTCCCGTCACGCTCCTCTGACAGACTGTTTGCCGTCCGTCTCTCTCAGCAGCATTTGCCTCCAAAAGAATGGCGGCTCGACGGCCATTATTGGCGGAAATCAAACCCCCGCCCTTTTCCGCCTCTCATCGTTTTGACCCGCCTGTAACGGTACTCCGTATAGGTACTGACATGGAGACCGTCTTCCAATCACGTGCGTAATCTACGTGTCGGAACAGACAGCTGAATAAGCTACCGGAATGAGTTATTCCGATCCGATCGGAGATATCCCTAATAGAAACGGAGAATAAGAACACAACGAAAAGGTTAGAAGAGGCCTTGTTTCGAGCCCTTTCTATCATTACAGCAATGGATAATTACCCGGATAAACCCCCTTCCGATCCGGAACCTCAGATGAGCGTTGTTTCTACCGGCATGATTCCGCCGCTCAGTCTGACAGACGAAGCGGTCACAAGCGGTCAGATTGCATGCATCCAACCGTAGAGGCTTGAATTCCTACAAGAAGAAGGCTCGGATTCCTACAGAACGAGGGCTCGTGAAGTGGGGGGGGAGAATGGAGATGATATGACCTTCCCAATTAGGGCCATCGGGTGCCAATCAGGATACAGTGCTGCACATGCTCGCAATCTCTACTATGTTGATCTGTATCCATCCCCTTGATCGCACTTATCAGTCATGACTCAACTGAGTCTCCTACTTCATCATCCGGACGAAGCCATCTGCTTCACCGTCCGAGCACGTAATTTGATGAGAGAAGTAAGACGGTTCTCGCCATCAACAACCAGTTACGCACAGGAGCATCACGGCTACCGCGCTAGCAGTAATCTGTACAACCTCGCCGGGCGAGACATGTCAAAACACCGAGGGCGCCATCATCCTTTCGTACTCTGCCGAATGACGACAGCCTTGGCAGGACCAACACCGCTCTACGCAATGAACCACGAGACATCCCGAGGAGCATCTTGAATTGACAAGCCAGAACCCTGCAAGGACACGGTCTCGGGATGAGGCCGTCTGGTAGGACACGGCATCACTCCCCCCCGAGTGCACATCACATCCACTACACTACACCTATCTAATACATGAGCGCCCAATGCAGGCAGACCTCTGACATGTCCCCCCCCCCCCATAGATTACGGCGAGAACCTTCCATCCCCCATGCGACAACTTCACATACAAGGTCGCGCTCGTCAAGCCCGCCACACGCCGTGACTTCTCCGGTGCCATGTGGCATATACGAGAACGGGGACCCGACATCATCAATGCTTGATCTGCTTTTACTGATAAAGAGAGGCGGGGAAAGAGCGCTCGGCAACGTCCTGTCCGACAAGGATACCGACGCCATCACCAGACTCGTCGACTCTCTGATTCCTCCTCCATCTCGCATCCCTGTCGGTAATTCCCGTCATCATCCGGCGACATTGGCGGCAGCGCTAGCGGCGGCCCTTGGAAACAAGCCCCCGACCTGACCGGCGGACGCCTGACTGAGGCTATCATAACCACCGGGTCGTCTGGCTGCGGAGATGTGCCGGCCCGAGGCGGAGGACCTGACGGTAACCGTGGCCAAGAGGGCCTAGGATGAAGCCCCCGCGACTCGTGGCATGCTCCGACCTAGTCTGGCTGTCGGTATATCGGCCCCCACTAACCTAGGTAGGTTGGAGTCTCTTAGGCCATCAGGGCTTTGACAGGGCACGTGGCCACAGAAAGAGTGGATGTTGGTGTGAGGTGAAGCTGCGTGTGTGGTGTCTGTGGTGTTTTGTCCTCGCAAATATCTGGTGTTGTCCAGCTGTATTCAGATCCCTAGGTTCTCACTGCTCGGGCACTCTTCCCGCCGTTCCTCGCATACGGTCTTGCTTATATGTCGATCCTGACGTCTACACCGTCAGACTCGACACCGTCCTTGCCAAGAACACAGCACAGGGGCAGCTCTGCTTTAATGCCGGTGAATACGGCGGAAAAGTATGCCATTCTCGACCCTCTGAATCGGCGATCAAGAGCACTGAGCGGTTGATCGGTAGTAGTTGGGTCGGTGACGACTAGCGAATACCCGCTGTTGTATTTTTATTCTTATTTTTTCTGCTTCTCGTCCCCCCCACGGGAATCCCCTTGCATCCATACGGTCCACGGTAGGATGGATGAACGTCGCAGTATTACGACGAGAATCCTTCAAAGGCTTGAGCTCTAGCCTCCGTTAGCCCCCCTCCCCTTTCTGCCCATTCTCGGCAAATAGGGAAATTCACCGGTCAATTGACCCTATGGGGGGGCCCCCCAACTACACGTACTGATGCGTGTATCCATCTTGTGGGTCGTCTTACATGATCCGTGCTCTTGACAAGCGCCGCTCAGCCAAGCATGGCTTGAGACCATATGACGCCATTCATGTGTAGGCTAGGCCAGTCATACTCATATCAGTACAACTCATATCAGTACAGCATGTACAAGTAGTAGCTATACAAGCCTCATCATTACTTACTAGATAGGATCATATCTTTGTTGACGGCGCACATCTATTCTCTTTGCATGTTTTGATCGTTCCTCCCGTCATGACCCTTTCCTCCACAGAGGAGCCGTATGCGTTGCAAAGGAAAAATGGAAACATGAGAAAGAAACATGAGAACGAAGACAGAACAGAACAAAAGCAAACCAAAAAAACCAGTAATACATAAAACAAGGTTGAATTAGGGGTCGTGAAAGAAAAGAGTTATTTCTTGCTTCTAAATTGGTTTCTGTTATTTCCATCCTTCCTCCTCCTGTCAATGCCCACAGGTCGTCAAGGTGATGGTAGATCAAGATGATGCAAAGGGGGGTGGGGGGGGAATTACACACATAAACAGCAACACTTGACAGAATACGACGAAATCAAGGCCTCACGGGTGTGGGAGCCACAATCTTGGAAGAAGGTGACTTGGCACTGTTTCTGCCGTTGCCATTCGTTTCACTCTCGTCCGAGTCATCGTCGCTCGGGTGTTGGCTCTCGACGTTGCGGTGGTTGCGAGTCATCTGTTTTTTTTGTTGTTTTCGACCGTCAGTTGTCTGATCTGTCGTCAAGTGCAGGTATGTTCGGAAGAGAAGTCAAGCGACGGTCGAGAGAAGACATGGGCGAGTAGTAGAGAGTGAGAGGAGGAGAGAGAAGAAGGAAGAAGAAGAAAACCGTACCCATGATCGAACACCACCAGCTAGGCCGGCAGCATATCCGGTAAGAAACTCCTTGGACGTGGTGGGGGACCTGGCAGATGCGGCGTCATTGCCGTTGGCCGACGCCGTGTTGAGCCTGGCTGGGCTCTGGGGCCTGCTGACGGGCCACAGCTGTCTGAGCTCGCGGCTGAGCTCCTGTCCCGTCGTGGCCCAGTTGTTTGTGATGTTCTCACGCAGCTCCTGGGTCAGACGCTTGAGGTCGAGCTCGTTCTTCTTGAGCCAGCTGACGTTGAGTTCCTGACGCGAGGTGCCGCGCTTGAACTGTCGGTAGATGTATTTCTCGTAGTCTCGGACGATTCTGGAAAAGGTCAGAGGTCAGCACCGGCAACATCTATCAAGGGGGAATCCCCTTCGAGAGGTGAGGTGTATATATATGTATGTATTATATATATATATATAATAGAGGGAGGGAGAGCGTCGGCAGACAAGAGAAGGGGGGCAGGTGTGAAGATACCTGGTAATCAGTCCCGTCGTGCTCACACCCTCGGTACGCTCAGTGGCGAGAAACTTCCCAGCCTTCTTTATAGGCTCGTAGATGTCGTCACCCTCTGCGGCACCGTAAGGGAGGTCGTCGTGAGCGACGTAGTCGAGCCTGTTCTCGTCGAGGAACTCGGGAGTGACGATCCAGGGGCAATCCTCGATAACCTCGTCGACCCAACGGCAGTGGCGGACCGTCTCAGCCCTCTCGCGTGCCGACATGACGGTCAGGCCCTTTCGCTTGTGAGTCTCCTCGTCGCCCGTGACGCCCACGACCAGGGTGGTGTTGGGGAAGGCATTCTTGGCCTGCTCGAGCTGCCGCATGTGCCTGTTTTGTTTTTTTATCTCATCAGCAAACTCTCTCTCTCTCTCTATCTCTACCTCTCTCTATCCCTACCTCTCTTCCTATCTCTCTCTCTCTCCTCGATTCTTGTCTTGACTTACCCAAGGTGGAACATGTCAAAGACACCATCGGCATAGACGCGAACAGGTCGACCGACGGGCGGGGTGTTTGTCCTGTACCCGATGGGGTGGCTGAGGTTCCCAATGGGGGGAGGAGGCATGGAGTCGTTGTCCTGGCTCTTACGACCGGCACGACCGGCAATGTCGGCGCTCCCCTCCGTCGTGTCACTCGGTTCGCCCGGGTCGGCCGTCGAGGCCGTCTTCTGCCTGTTGTTGCTGCCAGCTTTGCTGCTTCCGGCGGCGGCCGGGATGGAGTTGCGGTCCGAGCTGGCCCTCAGCCGCTTAGGGTTGGAGTGGCCATCCGACTCGGGAGCCGTCGTGTCGCCTTCCTCGCCCGAGGCGTCTCGTGACGACGTTTGCGGTTGAGAGGGTAGCGTGTCTGTCGTTACGCTGGCAACCGACACGCGGCTGCCGGCAGCGGTCCTCTTACGCTTGCTGCCCTGCGATGAACGGGATGATGACGGCATGATGTGTCCTGACGTTATGTGGGTGTCCGTGTGTGTCTCTAGGTTTTGTCGTCTTTGCGGGGAGATGGGGGTGGGAGGAGCTGAGGAGGGAAAAAAAAAAAAAACACGTCGTCAGGTTTAGGTATCTGTCCCAAGGTAGGAGGGATATGGTGGTGAAGGGGGAGAAGTCAGACGTTGGACGGGGAAAAGGAAGGGGGTCAGAGGTTGAAGAGGGAAAGAAAAAAGAAAAAAAGAAAGAAAGAAAAAGAGGGAAAACGCCAGCGATCGGTGATGCGGTGATGTGTCTCTCGAGCATGAGAGTTTGAATTCAGCTAATGAGTTGCCTCCAGCTGGAAATTAGAGCATTACGGAGTACGGAACGCCATCAGTACGGGGAACTAGTAACACTGCTAAACTCTGCTGCTGCTGCTGCTGCTACAGTACATCATATATCAGCAGTATGATAATATGTGCATACTACGACCCAACTTACCCTGCTGCCCTGCCCTTGGATCGATTTTGAATGCTGCAGTCTCGATAATCCGTGGTAAATCTCTTCTTCTCGTTTGAATCTATATCAATGTTCTTTACATATGCCTACTCCTCTCTCCTTCTCTCTCTTTCTCCCGTGATCTTGCTGTAAAAGCCGAATTGATGGGCTCTTACAGTCGCAGCTTTGTCGAAAAGCGGTGTCGAGGTTACCCAATGACGTTTAACCGAACGTAAAGGATACGTGACCACCTTCCTCGATGCTCCTACTACTATTACGATTAGTGGTCACGTTCGATAGTGGTGGATCCATTGCCACTGTTAGCGCACTGATGGCAGATTTCTTGTGGGGGTTTTATTTTTTTGGTCCCGGGTATGCAATTTTTTTTTTTTTCAAGGAAACCGGAGCAAAAAAAGAAAGAAAGAAACAGTAGAAGAAAAAAAGAAGGAAGAAAAAAAGAAGGAAGAAAAAAAGAAGGAAGAAAAAAAGAAGGAAGAAAAAAAGAAGGAAGAAGAAGAAGAAGAAGAAGAAGAAGAAGAAGAAGAAGAAGAAGAAGAGAAGAGTAGTTCATACTCAGGACAAGTAGAAAAAAAAATGAAACCTCTCCACCCAACGACTTCTCCCGTCAAATCAGCTCTGTCAATCCCTCAGAACTGCGCAGCAGCGTGGCAGGGCCGCAGAGGTCTGGACGAGGGAATGGATTCGGAGGGATTGGACTGGGGGTAGATGCACGAGTTTCTCTCTGTTACCTAACAAGGACGAGGGCAGATCACATCTCTCCATACAGCAAATGTTCCTAGGCTGCTCTGCGAGCACACCCGCAGACTTGCGCGCAAGCCAAACGTTGGGGAGGCGGCTGTGTGCCGCGTCCCGCCTTGGCTGGGCGCTGGGCGTTGGAGCGCGGCGTGTTTCCTTATAGGGCCCTACCAGTATTTCCTTATAGGGCCCTGATAGGGCCCTATAATCTGATGTCATCTTGCCAAGATGGATGAGGGCACCGGTGCTGCACATGTAATCTGGATTGATACTTGGGGGAACGTGAAGCATCTGCCAGCGATGTCTGTCGGAAGGCATCTCGTCAAGATTGTATAAAGGGTCGCATCCTTCTTCTTCTGTCTAATTTTCAGCATGCATCTCTCATCATCAGCTTGATTGATCAAAAATCTTTCAACTACACATCTCTCCATCGTCTACGTACACACGCCTACATGGCATGCACACATACGCACACACATACACATAACATGAGCGTCGTCATGAGCAGGAACACCACGGATCAGCCTCAGACAGGGTATGTCCTTCCTCCTACTTCACATCACCTCTCCTCTGTCACAGTCTGCATCCGGACTAACAGGCTCAGTGACTACCCTCCCGGCTACGTTCCTGGAAAGGGTTTCGAAGACTATCCTCACAAAGAGTACGTCTCTCTCTCTCTTTCACACACACTCTCACTCTCACACTCTCACACTCTCACTCTCACACTCTCACACTCTCACTCTCACACTCTCACTCTCACACTCTCACCCTCACACTCTCACTCTCACACTCTCACTCTCACTCTACACATCCTCCACATTGTACTGTACCGCGCTCAATGCGAGAAGGAAAGAAGAGACTGACGACAATGTCAGCAGCGTTCAACAACAGCAACAGCAAGTCCCCAGCACCAGCGGCCCCGTGACCGTGCCCCTGACCCAGCTCTCCCCCACCCGTCAGCAGTGGATCGACTGCCCCGGCTGCAGCCGGCCGACTCGGACCAGCGTCGAGGGGAGATCCGAGGGCAGGAAGCTGTTCATGAATGTCTTCTGGTGGCCCCTGCCGAACCGCAAGCACTGGTGGGAGAAGACGCACTGGTACTGCTCCGGGTGCAGGACCGAGGTGGCTGTGCAGAAGCGTGGAGAGGATCTACGGATTCTTATCTAAGCGCTCAAGACGATGATGCAGTTATCAAGACCTCTCTGCAGTGTTAGAGAGAGGCTTTTTATACACATGATCTATCAAAGCCACCGCTGATCCATCCCACCCACCGTCAGAAGCGGAGTCCGAACTCGTGTGTGCCTAGTGTCAAAGGTTCTCGGTCTTTGTTAATCTATCAAAACTTGAGTGCAGGTAGTATAATTTTATTGTTATTTTTAATGTCTTCATTTTTTTAATATATATACATATATATATATATATGTAAATGAATAGATAAATATATATAATTTTTACAAGAAGCAATTTATCAGGAGGATCCGTGCTTGCAACTCATTTGTAGCCTTTGCTTCTCAAAGAAGGAGAAAGGAGAGAAGGAGAGAAGGGGAGAGATGATCTTTCCAAATCAAACCAACGGTAATGACTGCCTGTTTTCTTCAATGTTCGAGCGGAAGGGGGGGGAGGGGGAAGGGGGGCCTTTGATGACTACCATTTCCTCTCTTCATCAACGCCACGTAGACGACCCTCTGATTCATCAAACAGACATCGAGGCGTCAAACAAAACATCCGACCAGCTGAAAGACCTCAGACAGGCAGAACATGAACTGACCGTCATGGTCAAACACTTAGTGCAGGACAGGTCAAGGTGATCTTGGGAGCGTTTGACAATTCGTATCCGTACTATGTATCCGTACCCTCGCTTGAAACTGAGCAGACCTCTTCGAAATAGCACCGAGTCCACGTCAATGTGTACCTTTAGATTAATGTGGCCTGTTTTTATTTACCTCAGACGTCACAGAAAAGAAAGGTTTAAGCTACATGTACGGAGAACGTTTCCCAGTTGAGCTAAATTCATATAAACAACCTGGGTGAGCTGACGAACGCAGCCCCTCCCCCCCTCCCCCTTGGGACCCCATCTAGATGATACATGGGGGGGGGGGGGGGGGGGGGGGGGGGGGTGGCATTCGCGTACACCCGTTTCAAGTGCGGCGCCAACATCCGAGAAAAAGAAGGAGGAGGGAAAAGAACAGGCGACGGATGGAGCCCATCGTCACATTTTTGGGGTGACACGGACGGAAAGGACGGTCCGAGGTTAATTAACTCCTCAATCGGATCCAAGGGAGCTCAAGGGAGTTCAAGGTAGTTCAATTGATTCCATGTGCCGAGCAGAGGTCAGGGATTCCATCTAGTCACTTGACTTTGAAATCCATCTATCACAATACCGATGCATTGAACGACAGCGGTTGAGAATTCGGCGAGTACCGAGACCCATGACAATTTTTTTTTTTTTTATAAATCCACAAGAGAGCATGAACGAAGGTCCCGGGTCTATGCATGTAGGGGTTCAGAGGTTGTGTGAGTCTAGGAGGATCTGTGCTTCACAACCTATATGTGTAGCTTCAGATTCTTAAAACTCGTAACCGTAAAACGCGTTTCGACTCCTTATACTAGTGGAAAAAGAAAAAGGGAAGAGAAGAAAAGAAAAGAAAAGAAAAGAAAAGAAAAAAAAAACACGTGTATGCCACCAAGAATCTGGGAGAACAAGTTTTGAAACATAGTCCTCCTTCTCAACTCAAACCACCACCCCCCCTCCGCCCCCCCCTCCCTTGCCACATACTTGTACGTACATTGGTCTCATCTCACCCCGCTCGGTGCGGGACCACTAGTTCTGTGCATAAGCGTCTTCGATATATAAGTGAAAAGAAAAAAATAAATAAATAAATAAATAAAAAAACTTGCCGTCTAGAGACAGCTTCGGAACAGGGGTTCTCTTCATTACCTGGCCAATAGGCTACTCCGTACTGCTGGAACGGTGCATGCTGAAGCAAGGATCTGGGCAGTTGCCGTGTGATGGACGGGTAGCTACGTCTTGTTGTCTTGCCCCGAATTTAGTACGATCCCCTGCGTGTCGGATAAACGAAGCATAACGTACCAGAGTCGAGATGTGGTATCGGGCTCGACGTGTGGTCGAAACAACCGACGACGAAGAGAGAGTACGGCTACGGACAAGACAAGGTTATCCTCAACCATGGTGAGTTGGTTGCGTCTGCGACGGGCGGCGGAGAAATCTATATAAACATGTCTCGTCTTCCCCGTCTGTTCTTGTTTCCTATCTTTCTCTCCATCCTCATCACAGCTGGACAGTCTTCTTTCTTCAGACACACACACACACACTCTCTCTCTCTCTACACCTGATTCTCCTCTGCTCCTTCATCTTCTCTTGTTCATCAACCTCCCAACCCTTCCAAGATGTACTCTGCTACCCTCCTCCTCGCCGGCTCCGGCATGGCCATGGCCGCCTCTCAGTACTTTGTCGCCAACACTACGTCGCCCCTGATCGCCGCCGCCGTCACTTCTACCATCCCCGAACCCGCTGGAACCAGCCTCTCCTCTGAGCCCATCAGCGTGAGCGGTTCCTTTGACGGAAAGGGCTTCCTCTACGATCGTGACAGTACGTCTTCTCTCTCCTCTCCTCATTTACCCTCTCCTCCTCCTCCTCCTCTTACTCTTACTCTTCTCGTACTGATCAATTCTCATAGGCGTCCTCTGCAACGACCAGCAGGAAGGCGGCGACGACGACACCATCTTCCTCCTGGAAGACGGCGCCTCCCTCTCCAACGTCATCATCGGTCCCAACCAGGCCGAGGGCATCCACTGCGCCGGTTCTTGCACCCTCACCAACGTCTGGTTCCAGGACGTCTGCGAGGACGCCATCAGCCTCAAGGGCGACGGCGACATGACCATCTCCGGCGGCGGCGCCTTCCACGCCTCCGACAAGGTCATCCAGCTCAACGGCATAGGCCAGCTCACCGTCGACAACTTCTACGTCGAGGACTACGGCAAGCTCGTCCGCTCCTGCGGCAACTGCGACGGCAACGGCGGTCCGCGCAACATCGAGATCTCCAACGTCGTCGCCATCGACGGCGGCCCCCTGTGCGGCATCAACACCAACTACGGCGACACCTGCGACATCGTCGACTCCTGCCAGGACAGCGGTGAATCCTGCACCCTCTACACCGGCAACGACACCGGTGACGAGCCCGAGGAGGTTGGCGAGGGTCCTGACGGAAAGTACTGCGTCACCGAGAACTTCAAGAGCTCTTGCTAGACGTCTCCTCCCCCCCTCCTCCCGCTCAGACCCTCCCTCTTTTGTATATACATTCCTGTCCTCTTGAGCATGGCCATGTTGGACATGGCCTTCATCTCTTGCACATACTCTCTTCGTTCCTCTCCACATCTTCCAGAATCTTGTATATAGGAAAATAAAACATTTTTGCTGGCATGCTTCGTTTCTGCTCATCGAGTGCTGTTTACATGCTTTATTGACTATGTTTTGTACGTGGTAGTATATATATATACATATAATATACTTCCAATCCCATTCTGCAGCCTCTTCAACATCTCATAAAACAAGGCAACGTGCTTTTACCAACACACATGGTAACAACCCATCATAGTTAAGAATACAATTAACATAAAAAACCAACCCAACCTAAAAACGCCGCCATCCGTCCTCTGTTTTTCTCTTTGCTTTGCTAGACGCCCAGAACAGAAAAGAAGGCAAGACACAAGAAAAATATGGACAGCAAACACACACACCAAAGAAAAGGTAACATTTGTATATGATTGGACCTTTCAATCAGCGATAGCCGAATCATCAGCCTTTTCCAGACGACCAACCGAGTCTGAGGAAGAAGAAGCACTCTGTTCGGTAGCCGCAGTCCCCGGGACCAAGATGTTGGCGCGAGCCTTGTGCTGCGCCTCGATGAAGTTGTCCCACGATTCGCCGTCCTGCTCCTTCATGCAGCGCAGGACGAAGGCCCTGTCCTCCTTGAAGATGTTGATGGCGCCCTTCTTCTGCACCCGCTCGAGGAGCTCGCCGCCGATATCCTCGGCTATGTCGTTTACCAGCCTGATGAGCGACGGTTCCGCGCCGATGTCCTCCACCGTGGCCAGGTATCCCAGATCGGCCTGGGTGAAGAAGCCTGAGCGGAAGCGGTGACCCGTCCGGAGCGTGCGGCCTTCCTCTTCGGCCAGGATCTTGGACAGGACGGAGCTGGTACGCGATAGGGGCCTCTCGTTTTCGTTGTCGTGGTCTGGGTGGGCGATTAGCTTGGCCTCGTCGTCTGCCTCGCCGTCCGATGCCGGGTCGGCTGGCAGGCATGCCGTGAGCTGCTCTTCTGTGTGGTTTGTTGCCGCGGTCGATGACGTCGTCGTCTTGGTCAGTGGCTGCAGCGGTGGATGCTGGGGTGCATCTTCGCGCGTGTCGGGGAACTCGTCCTCGAATCGTTTGATGATCCCCTGCAGCGTTTCGTCCAGGAAGATCAGCTTGCGCAGGTCGTGCTCGTCCGACGGGCTGGTCCGGGCCTTGATGAGCGCAGGCTGCAGACGGTGGCGGATCTTGCGCGCCGCAGCTAGGAGATGCTTGGACATTTCCTTGGCCTTACCACCCGTGGGGAGACCGCCAGCGACATTGTCATCGACGTCCTGGCCTTCTCCTGCGCCGTCATTATCGCGCATAAGCTCCACGGACTGCCTGCCCGAGTCGTCGCCGCGGTTCTCAAGGCAGCAAGTCAAGGCCTTGACCACACCCGTTCCGCCGATGACGTAGTCCTCATCCGGACCGTCCATATTGCTCTCGTCGTCGTCCTGCTCCAGGACATCGTGACCGACCAGGTGAGCGATGACGTCGGGGTAGCCCGCGACTTTCGAGGACAACAAGGCAGCATCCTTGTCGGCCTGGCTCTCGCTCATGGCCGACGCCGCCGCGGCGCTGATATCTGAGTCGTGAATGGCCTCCATGTTGCGCAGGCAGTACGCGACAACCTGCTTGGCCATGGCTTTGACGATCTCGCCCGACTTGTCGCCAGGCACGTCAATGTCGATGCAGACGAGGCTCGTGGACAGCCTGGCCCCTGCCATCAGCGATGCGTACAGGGCGCACGCCTCCTCCTGCTCCTCCTCTGTCCGGGCGTCAGCTAGCTTGACTAGTTCGGTATTCTCCAGCAGGTTGACGTGTGCCAGATTGTGGATCTCTGGCAGGATCTCGATGATGGCAATGGCCTGCTCCGCAGACATGCCCATGTCTTGGAGATGGATGCGTTTCAGCGGTTCCATTTTCGGAAGGTATCTATCCATCTATTAGTTAAAACTTATCCCATAGCATAGAGCATAGAATAGAACTAGGGGGAGCGAAGAAAGAAAAAAAAAGAAAGAAAAGAAGAAAAAAAAAACTTACTTCCTCAAAGTGCCAACAGCACTAGGCGATTGTGTAAAGAGCTCATGGTTATGCGACAAGTCGATGAACCGGAAGTTGTTGAGCTTCGTAAGCGTACTGAGCACTTTGCACAGAGACGCAGGCTCGAGGTTGCAGTCCGATAGACTGAGTGCCCAGAGGGGGCTGGAGCCGTTGAGGGACTCCATGAGAGACTCGATATGGCGACCGAGATGGTTCCCGCTCAGGTCGAGACCCACACAGTTGCCCGCAGCGAGGAACTTTGCCAGGTGCTGTGCACCTTTGCCATCAAGGTGGTTGTGTGCGAGACCTAGGCGGCGGACGTCGCTCTTGATGAGGCCGTCGACAATGGTGCCGAGCTGGTCCATCGTGGGCTCCGTACCGCCAATATTGAGCAGCTCGAGCGTGGCCGGGCCGGCAAGGCGTTCGGCCAGAGCCCTGGAGAAGATTTCGGCTATACCCAGGGGCATGTGGCGACCGTTGGGCAGATTGCGGTTGTTGTCGGCCTGCGAGGTGGCAGTGGCAGCCTGGCGAGGGAACGCCACGTCTGACACGTCGAGGAACTTGAGCGAGCGGCAGAGGTACAGGAAAAGAGACAGGTACTTCCACCCGTCGGGGCCAAATTTGTTATTCTTGATGACGAGACGTTCCACGAGCCCGCCGCGGGGCTCCATGTCGCGCTGCTTGGGGCGACGGCGGCGGCGGCCGGGGTTAGGGGGACGCACAGTTAGCATACCCGCTAGGATGACCCGGAGTCCCTCGTCGCTGAGGTTGCTGTTCTCCAGAAGCACTTCGCGCACCGGAACCACGGCCAGGTAGTCGCCCAGGGTCACCACGTCGGCATGCTGAAGCCAGTATCCCGTCAGATCAAGCTTGTTAACCATGCCCGTGGCGGATGACCAGTTGGCCGTGTCCAGGAGCTGCTCGGTAATCTTCTTGAGGATGGGCGTCTCCCGCAGCTGGCAGCACCGCCGGTATACCCTGGCGGGGTCTGTGGTGGGGTAGCCGTGCATCGTAGCAGTCTTAGTCATACCCTCGGCGGGTGGGCTGTCGGCCGTGTCCGGGTTTTCGTCGCTGCTGTCGTAGCGAATCTCCATGGGGATGGTACCGTTGGCTTCGGCTAGTCTGCGTTTCTTCTCCTTCCGAGCCTTGCGCTCCTCCTCGCTGCGCTTCTTCTTCTCCTTCTTCTTAGAGGGTTCCTTTTCCTTTTCCTTTTCGGGCGGGGAAGACGAGAGTTGACTGGCGGCGTGGCTATCATCAATTTCCGTGGCTTCAGCCGTGGCAGCAGCGGCAGGCTGGCTAGCCACTGTGTCGGCAGGGGGAGATAGTGGCAACCCGGCCTCCTTCTTCTCCTCGACAGCCTTTGGATCCTTGAGCGCAGCACCCTCGCCCTTCTCCGTCATCGTCTTGTGCGTGCTGTCGACGGGCACCCTGTCGGCGGGGTCGGGGGCATCGGCGTACTTGGGCACAGGAGCAACCTCGACATCGACGCAGAACGATACCTTCTTGAGCTTGTTGTCCTTGAGCTCTGATATGGCGCACCTCTGGCGCTTATCGTCAACGTTCAGGATCCTGCGCTCTACCAGACCGTTGCCTACTCTGGCAGCAGCATGTCCATTGCCCGAGGACGAGAGCCTCCGGAAGACGCCGAGGAACCCGGCTTGACCCGATTTCGGTGGCGCGGGCGTGTACGGACCGTTATCGATAGGCTTGGTGGCCGGAGGGAGCACGGCGCCTCTCGAACCGCTGGGTCTGGGTACGGGCGGATGCGTGCTGGGCGAGGACTCGGGCATAGAGTCGTTGGCCTTCTCCTGGGGTGGCTCCGTCACCTGGCCATGCTGAGGCTGTGACGGCGAATGCGGTGATGCTGGCTGCTGCTGCTGCTGCGGTTGCTGTTGCTGGTGAAGGAGGTGAAGGTTGGTCCCGGAGAACTTGGCTGATATGTTGGAGAACCAAGAGTTGCGACGGCTGGGAGGCGTGCCCGTCGGACTGCCTGGATTGCTCTTGTCGAGGGAGCCGGATCGCGAGTGGCGACGGGTAATTGGAATGGCGGGAGATGTCGCGTGCCCATTGTTGGCACCGTGGTTCTGAGGGTTTGGCGATGCCGGTTTCGGTGAGGACGTGGCAGTGGTGGTGATCTGCTGCGGTCGCGCAGGCGTAGCAATCTTGGCCGGCGGTGAGGGAGGTCTCCGATTTATTCTGTCTGTTTTTGCATTTGTCAGCCGGGTGGCGTGGCGATGGAGGAAGTCGACGGTCGTCCAATGTTGTTATCGTTGTTACCTTTGGGTGTTGCCTGTGTCATCCAGCTAACATCGACACCGTGGACCTGCTCCATGTTTTCAGACGAAACATGCAAACACAAAGGGTGCGAGAACTGGATGACGAGGGGAGAGGGGGAATAGAGGAGACAGAATCGGTGGAGAGACTCGAAACCGTAATATTTGCTGACGTTAGTCTCTGTACCGGAGGCTGAATAGATCGGAGAGAGTGAGAGGGTAAAGAAGGTGAGGCCGAGGCGGGTAAGAAAGAGGAGAAGGAGCCGATGGTGGTCTAGGCCGGCTTTCTTTTTCAAGTTGGGGGGGGGGGGGGGGGGGGGGGGGTATGCGGGCGCTATAATCGACAAGAAGGAGGTACCAATGCGGTCTAGGGCGGGATGTTCGAAGAGAGAGCTTTCTGAATGAGCTTTCTGAATTCGCCCCCCCAGAGATGGAACGCTGCGATATTTCGTAATATTATATCGCCCCTTTTCCAAAGAAGGAGAAGAAGAAGAAGAAGAATCTCACACCCACTACCTTTTCTTTTTCGTCTGCTTCTCTCAGTGAGCAGTGTCCTGTGTGTCTTGATTGAAAGGGATTCCTGGGAAAGGCGGGCCGGGAAAGGACCCTCTTTGTTACTTCGTCATCACACGCCGATTTTTTATCAGTAGACCCTTTCAAAGTCACGCACATGCCCAGTCCATCCACACGAGTATACGTGCTATGGTGCTATGGTGCTATGGAGCTAACGACTCCACGAGTAATGCCAACGACTATCTAGTATCACTACTGGTAAAAGGTTGAAGCATGGACTGCAATGGAAGTATCCGCGTGTCTTGCCTACCACTGTAACAAGTACTAATACTCGCAGCTGTCCATCTTACGGGGGTACTCGTACGATGACCGGCACTGTGCATCTCTGCATTACAGGGGATCCTGGCTAAGGCCAATCGATTCAGCGGGCCGATGGGTACCACTGACTAGTACGAGTAATAGTACGGCGCAATACTGAGATACTCTTCGATTTTCAAAAACGCCTACGAGATATCCGGGGTAAATGATGGATTCTGTAGTGATACAGTGATACCCTTCTCTTGAGATTTTCCACTGCCAACCAGCTTCGATCTCGTGTCGCTTTTCTCTTGATCTACCGTTGGTCCAAACGTCATCCGCCGACGTCATTTTGCCCATTTAAAAAGTCACATGGCCTCGATATCCCGCCACCACCCGCCCACTTACCAAGTGCCTACGAGTAATAATCAATGCAGAAGTAGCCCCCTATCCACCCAAACACCATCTACTACTTGTACTTGCTAGTAGTAGCATGTCCAAACCATCACCCGGAACAAAAAAAAGGGAAAACTGACAGAATGATAAATGATAATAGCCGGGGGGAAACGGTGGAAGCTGGCAATGCTGAGGAAAACCCGCTAGTCTTGCTTGAAACTAATACTACATATATATAAGAAAGATGCACAGTGTGCACAAGTACGCCAGTTGCTTCTTCCCCGCCCCCCCCTCCCCCCCTCCCCTAAGGAAAACTGTTTCCTGTCATTGAGACATTTAGGGCACGCCCGACTCCTCCGTTCCTTCCATTCCAACCTTGAGCCTCTCTTCTCTCCAATACGCTCTGTGGTGGTAACATGTCTTGATACTACCCATAACGTGCTCCCACCAACATATCACTTTTTGTTTTCTTTTTTTTTTTTTTCAATATCCAAAAGATTTTTCATGCAGAACAATCAATATCAAACGGCAAGAACGGAAGAAAACAAGGATCGTATCCGATAAAAATACGGACCAGAAAGCACGTCAACCTCGCCAAGACGAAGGCTCCAATAACGATACTACGGATTCGAATCATCGTACGATACCGACCTACTCGTAGACTCCAAACATTCAGTACTGTAATACTCTTTAGTATTGGTATGCTACTGCTATATGAAAGTAGTGCGGCAGTGGCAATCCTACGTGCATAACGGAGTAGCGGTGGTATACCATGTGCGGATATATTCGTGGCAACGGTGGGAATTGGCGTCCAGGTGGTGAGAGTGCATTTATCTTGTTGGTAATACAGACAGTCGTAATTTTAAAACTTGCTAGTAGCTTACGAGTACTACGAGTACTAAGGCTGCTTGCTTACATCAATCCTCGAAATCGACTCTGTGCCGCAAGCCCGGAGTCTGCTTCGATTTACGTCCCTTCTTCTCCACATTTCGCGAATGTCACTGCGAATATCTGTGTAGTGTCACCGTCAGACCGTCACCAGTGCACAAAGGCTGTGGGGGGGGGGTAGCGGAAAGGAAACCCCTTGCAGCAGATTACATGGCCACATGCACGACATATGATATCAGACAAATCCTCAAGTCATGGGTTCTGTCATTTGAAAAGAGAGAAGAAACAGAACATTTTAAACCTTTTTTTTTATAAGTCTTGACCCGACTATCGAACGACAATTAGGCCCCAAGGTTGAATGACCATTTTTCCCAGCTCAAAAAAGAAAGAAACTCCAAGTATCCGTAAGTCGCAAAGATGGACGACGCGGTCACATGCACACCCTCGACGGAGGAGAGTAGGCCTAAAATCTTAGCCGAATGAAAATTGACTTTTCCTTGTAAAAATTTTTTGGTTTTGTTTTAAGAAGGCAAGAGAAAGCTACATTTACTCCTGGTCCAGGATCTCCTGGATCCTGGCCTGGACGCGCTCCTGCTTCTCGGCCTTTGTGGACTTGGGGGTCCTGTACTGCTTGGAGATGGCCTTCCACTCCTCCTTGGTCTTCTTGGGGGCATCAGTCTCGTGCTTCTTGAAGGGGTCCTCACGGATGGCCGCGTGGGCCTCGGTGTAGAGCTCCTCAAGGCTCTCAGCCTCGACGTCGTCATCAATGTACTTTTGGAACTGGCTGGCGTAACGCTCCTCGTCGTCGTCGGCAAGCAGCTCCATGTACTCGGAGACGTGACCGCCGAAGATGTAGTTTCGGAGAGTGTCGGCGTCGAGCTCCTTAGACTCGATGTCGTAACCGGGGAAACGCTTCTCGGAGTGGGGGATGAGGATACCACCGTCGGAGGCACCCTTCATAGCACCGAAGACACGGGCACCGGTGGTGGTGCGGGCAAGACCGACGTCGAGGAAGGCCTTGAAGGGGCGGCGCTCCTCGCCATCCTCGCCCTCGGCGGCCTCGGTGAGGGTGAACTCGCCATCGACCTCTTCGACACCGGTGAACTGCTTGTCGAGGCCGAGCTTGCTGAGGACACGGCGGGCGAGCAGGAGACCGGTGGCGTAGGCAGCGGCCCAGTTGGTCAGACCGTGGTTGATGCCGTAGGCGCGGAGCTCGTGGCTGTAGGCAGAGGCAAAGACCTTGTCGCCAGAGATCTCGGCGGTGACGATCTGGGTGATGATGTCCTTGTTGGTGAAGCGGACAACCATGCGGTACTTGGGCGCATTGTACTTGTTCTTAGCCTGGGCGATGAGGCGCTTACGGGCGTAGTAGTCAGTCTTGCCCTCGCGTCTGCGGCGGTACTTAGTCTGGTAGCGACTGTGAGGAGTGGATATTAGCATTTTACCCAGAGCAAAAAATAACTGCCACAGAGTGAGTGGTATTGATAAGGGATGAAGATAGACAACTTACCTGAAGTAGGCAGAGCTCTTGACCGTCTTGTGGAAAGGCTATGTCAAAGAAATCCCCGAGTCAGCAATTTGCGCTTCAGAATGCTCGATCCTCCTTCCGAAGCAACTTGCGTTGACCCTCCAATTCTCGAGCAAAGATAGATGGGAAACGCAGTAGCATTTCTGCCAGGGTGCGCGCCGCAGCAGGGGAAAAAATATTTATTCTTGCAGTCTCATGAAGCCCACGAGATAAATCGTGGGGACAGCATGAGGCTCCCTCTGGATAGGCCTCAACTTACCATGATGGCGGTATCTGACCAACGGACGGCTTAGGATCCTTGAAGTCGGGTTGTTGGGTGGTTAAGAGGAAGTGGGATTCAAGACAGAAACCGAAGCACTTGTAAATTTTGGTGGGGGATTTTTCAAGCCCTAGGTCCCAAAAGGCGCAGATTGTGCGTGGGCTCCACTTTCCTTGCCAGGTAGGAACTTGGGTCGGGGACGAATTATCCAACAGCATGGTTGGGGACGATGCCGGATCAACCAGCTGAATAAGCCACTGAAAGAAGTTATTCCGGTCCGATCCGAGCTTTCCCCTCCCCGATAAAGCAGAGCACCTGTACACACTATTTTCCTCATACATATAACAACAACACCTAGCAATAAGAAGACCAGAAAAAGGCCTGATAGAAGCCTTTTTACATCATTATACCATTGAATAATTATCCGGATAAATTTCCTGCCGATCCAGAACCTCAGACGAGTGTTTTACCGGCATTATTCCGCCGCTCAGTCTGACAGACGAGTCGGTCACATGATCAGCTCTTTTTTTTTTCTTCTTTTTTTCTTAGCAGAATAGATATTGTAAAGCTTACGTCCTTACTAATCAAACGATTCCAGTTCCCAAATATCCTGTTCAAAGCAATAATACGACCTAAGACAATCAATCATTTGCTTGGATGTGCTCTTGCGCATGGGGCCTCGTGGTTCCCTGCCATCTTTCATCGCTGATAAGCGTTCACATCGTATGTAGCGGCCTGCAGACGTTGCAACGGCTATCATCGTAGAAGATAAACGACCTACCGACCTCGCTGCCGCTGGCCTTGTGGTATGTGCGAGTACGGGGATGTGTGTCTTCTCTCGCGGACCACAGCCAATTTGAGAGTCGCAGCCGGGGGCCGAGGTTCTTTGAGTGGGAAAGGAGGGGTGGGGGGCCTGTCACTGTCTCTCAGCTCCCCCACGTCGACCTTTTTCTCTTCCCCTAACCATATTAAACTGCCATATTGCACGGCAATGTTAAGTTGTATCTCCCTTTTCCCTGTATCAAATTTCAAATTTCAGCAATTCCGAAGTTTGTGCTATCAAGTGCATTATCGACGTGGTATCCGCTAAGATGGCATCGGAGTCGTCGCGTGCACCCAGACAGCCCAAGGTGCTCATGTTCGACATTGGAGGCGTCTGTGTAAGTTGACATCTGTACAGCCAGAGGTTCGTTGGCTGTTCTTGTCTCCTTTTCCCCTTTACTACTCTCCCTTTCGCTCTCATCTTGCGAGGGATACGTTTCCCGATGATGATTAGTGGTCGAGGTGGTCCCGGCCTTGGCCGGACATCATCATCTCAGCAGTTTTTGTCTGCTCCTAGCCATGTCTAACACGCATGAAAAATGCAATGATACAGGTCAATTCACCATTCCAGGCCATTCTGGACTACGAAGTGAGCCTGGGAATACCTCCTGGATGGGTAAACTACTCCCTCTCGCGCACGGCCCCAAACGGGTGGTGGCATCGGCTTGAACGGGGTGAGGTGCCCATGGACGAATCCTTCTTTCGCGGTTTCAATGAGGACCTGCACCACGAGGGGCGCTGGCGGGAATTTTACGCGAGGGAACAGCAGAAGAGTAAGGGTGAGGATCGAGCACGACTACAACGGCAGGAGAAGGGGGAGGCCGAGAAGCGCGAGGATGAGGCCAGCGACAACCGGGATCTTCATGCACGGCCAGAGTCGGACACTCCGCCGCCATTGCCAAAGATGGATGGCGAGTGGCTCTTCAACGAGATGATGGCATACTCCGCCGCGCCGGATCCGTGGATGTACCCGGCTCTGAAGGCGCTCAAGGCCAGCGGTAGATATATCCTGGCGGCACTGAGTAACACGGTCATCTTTCCGCCAGGCCACCGGCTTCACAAACCTGACTTCCTAGGCGACCCGGTACGCGGCATATTCGACGTCTTCATATCGTCTGCCCACGTGGGCCTCAGGAAACCCGACGCACGGATCTATCAGCTCGCCCTTGACAGGGTGGACAGATTTGCGCGGGAGCAGCGTGGTGCCGGCGGTAGGAGCAGTGCTATTACCGACGACGGTGATGGAATGGATGACGGTGTGGAGGGGCAGGGCGTAGAGCCGGAAGACGTCGTCTTCCTCGACGACATCGGCGAGAACCTAAAGCACGCGCGCAAACAGGGGTTTAGGACCATCAAAGTACATCTCGGACGAGCGTACGAGGCCGTGGATCAGCTCGAGTCACTGACAGGCTTGGCGCTAGCCGGTGCTCATCCTAGGGTCCCACCACAGCTGCCTGTCAACCCCAAGTCTAAGATGTAGGCTATTTCCCTTCTTGGTGACGCCTACACCTGGTGCGTGGGCGCATTCATCAGATATCAGCTCTCCTAATTCCGGGTGTGTCTCGCTATTTCGTGTCATCTGCTTCTCCTGCCTTGACATGGGCTATCATGTACTAAGAGTCTACGAGTTGGTCCAGCCTCACCGGATGATCTTCCAAGTCCAACCGAGACAGTCTTGTTCCCTGAAATCAATATGCACTATCCCGTAGCGGCCAATGTGGGTGAGTGAGTGCCGACGAATATACCTCGTCCGCTCCGAGGTGGTGGTATCCTCGAACGAGAACCTACTGACCACAGGCCCCTGAGAACTTTCGTGGAGCTAAGGTGTGGCCGTCGCACCTTGTTTCCAGGTGGTTCGTCTCTCCCTCTCTCCCTTTGCGTGTGTGTGTGTGTGTGTGTGTGTGTGTGTATGTATGCAGCCTGACCGATTTGTATACCCATACCTGTTTT